GTCGCATTCAAAAAGTCGAAAGAGAAAGCGGAGCTTTTAGAATTGCGCATAAAGACCAACATATGTTGAGAATTTCGCAGCTCCAGTCCAGTCGGAAGTGACTGGGATTTTAAAATAAAAATTCCCTAAAAATATTTTTTATTTATCAACATTTGTCAAATACTTAAAGTTTTGTTTGTTATCATTCCGTATTTTTTATGCCCCCTAATATTAATTTATATTTTGTAATTTTTCTTTGTAATTGTAATTTATTTCAAATGGCGAATGATAAGATTTGGATTTACAACAAAAAGAAGATAAACAACAAACAACAACTCCACCAAAATGAAAGAAGAATAGTTCAAAATTCTAAAAATTGACTTGTCATGGCTTTATCCAAATACTACCTCTTTTTAGGAGAGATCAAAAAAAAAGTTCATACAATATATGAAACGGTTAAATCAATTATAGATTTATAAAAATCCCGCAAACTTTGCGGAGGAAGAAATAATAATAACTGATAAAAAGAGCCCCAAATGGAGATGAAATGATTGTGCGTAATTTGTGCATCTTCCACCTCTTACGTTAAAACAAGTGTTAGAGAGGCCAAGAATTGGCTGATAACCGTTCTCGTTATAAGACCCATGTTTGTGGAGAATATGATTGATGGATAATGTAGACAACAAAAGAAAATATGGACATCAATTCTCTAAAGGGGAAAGGAGTGTTGGATCCATATATTTGACAATTTATTAATTATTCTTCAAATATTATTTTCAAAAGTTTATTGCCCCAAAATATGTTGTAAATGTTTGTTATCTATTCCCCATTTTAAATATTCAAAACATTCCCTCAAAACAAACATTTACTTTGACCCTAAACTTCCTTTCATTTATTTTAAATAATTTATTCTTATCATTGTTTTACAACTTCATCATTTGACCTACTTCCGCCCATTTGCTTACCCTATAAATACTTGTTTGTCATTTACCTTTCAAGCTCGTCTTGATCACACTTGCTCCCCAAAACCAAAACCCAACTTATTTAAATAAACTTATTAAACTTGTGTATAATTATTCGTTGTGTATTGTTTGAGTTAGATTATTTGAGTATTTAAAAGAAGATATTTAAATTAATTATTAATTAGAAGAACCGGGATATTATACTGGTCCCACGAACCCGTCGTGAATAAACGGAGATTAAATTTGAAAAATTTTTTAATTTGAATTTGTTGAAGTGATTATAAGTTTAGGGTCAAAGTAAATGTTTGTTTTGAGGGAATGTTTTGAATATTTAAAATGGGGAATAGATAACAAACATTTACAACATATTTTGGGGCAATAAACTTTTGAAAATAATATTTGAAGAATAATTAATAAATTGTCAAATATATGGATCCAACAATTTTGAATAAAATAATCACAAAAGAAAATAAATTATTGAAGATTATAATATAATAAATATGTCTAAAGATTAGTTTTTATTCGGAAGGTTATTTTGAATAAAATAATCACAAAAGAATATAAATTATTGAAGATTATATTATAATAAATATTTCTAAAGATTAGTTTTTATTCGTAAGTTTATTTTGAATAAAATAATCACAAAAGAATATAAATTATTGAAGATTATAATATAATAAATATTTCTAAAGATTAGTTTTTATTCGTAAGGTTATTTTTAATAAAATAATCACAAAAGAAAATAAATTATTGAAGATTATAATATAATAAATATTTCTAAAGATTAGTTTTTATTCGTAAGGTTATTTTGAAAAAAATAATCACAAAAGAAAATAAATTATTGAAGATTATAATATAATAAATATTTCTAAAGATTAGTTTTTATTCGGAAGGTTATTTTGAAAAAAATAATCACAAAAGAAAATAAATTATTGAAGATTATAATATAATAAATATTTCTAAAGATTAGTTTTTATTCGTAAGGTTATTTTTAATAAAATAATCACAAAAGAAAATAAATTATTGAAGATTATAATATAATAAATATTTCTAAAGATTAGTTTTTATTCGGAAGGTTATTTTGAAAAAAATAATCACAAAAGAAAATAAATTATTGAAGATTATAATATAATAAATATTTCTAAAGATTAGTTTTTATTCGGAAGGTTATTTTGAAAAAAATAATCACAAAAGAAAATAAATTATTGAAGATTATAATATAATAAATATTTCTAAAGATTAGTTTTTATTCGTAAGGTTATTTTTAATAAAATAATCACAAAAGAAAATAAATTATTGAAGATTATAATATAATAAATATTTATAAAGATTTGTTTATATTCGGAAGGTTATTTTGAAAAAAATAATCACAAAAGAAAATAAATTATTGAAGATTATAATATAATAAATATTTCTAAAGATTAGTTTTTATTCGTAAGGTTATTTTTAATAAAATAATCACAAAAGAAAATAAATTATTGAAGATTATAATATAATAAATATTTCTAAAGATTAGTTTTTATTCGGAAGGTTATTTTGAAAAAAATAATCACAAAAGAAAATAAATTATTGAAGATTATAATATAATAAATATTTCTAAAGATTAGTTTTTATTCGGAAGGTTATTTTGAAAAAAATAATCACAAAAGAAAATAAATTATTGAAGATTATAATATAATAAATATTTCTAAAGATTAGTTTTTATTCGTAAGGTTATTTTTAATAAAATAATCACAAAAGAAAATAAATTATTGAAGATTATAATATAATAAATATTTATAAAGATTTGTTTATATTCGGAAGGTTATTTTGAAAAAAATAATCACAAAAGAAAATAAATTATTGAAGATTATAATATAATAAATATTTCTAAAGATTAGTTTTTATTCGTAAGGTTATTTTTAATAAAATAATCACAAAAGAAAATAAATTATTGAAGATTATAATATAATAAATATTTATAAAGATTTGTTTATATTCGGAAGGATATTTTGAAAAAAATAATCACAAAAGAAAATAAATTATTGAAGATTATAATATAATAAATATTTCTAAAGATTAGTTTTTATTCGGAAGGTTATTTTGAAAAAAATAATCACAAAAGAAAATAAATTATTGAAGATTATAATATAATAAATATTTCTAAAGATTAGTTTTTATTCGTAAGGTTATTTTTAATAAAATAATCACAAAAGAAAATAAATTATTGAAGATTATAATATAATAAATATTTCTAAAGATTAGTTTTTATTCGTAAGGTTATTTTTAATAAAATAATCACAAAAGAAAATAAATTATTGAAGATTATAATATAATAAATATTTCTAAAGATTAGTTTTTATTCGGAAGGTTATTTTGAATAAAATAATCACAAAAGAATATAAATTATTGAAGATTATAATATAATAAATATTTCTAAAGATTAGTTTTTATTCGGAATGTTATTTTGAATAAAATAATCACAAAAGAAAATAAATTATTGAAGATTATAATATAATAAATATTTCTAAAGATTAGTTTTTATTCGGAAGGTTATTTTGAATAAAATAATCACAAAAGAAAATAAATTATTGAAGATTATAATATAATAAATATTTCTAAAGATTAGTTTTTATTCGGAAGGTTATTTTGAATAAAATAATCTCAAAAGATTGAAGTCAATATAAACCCCATCCCTACATATAAATTATATTATTCTACTATCCCCATATCATCTAGGTAGAGATGCCAGACTCAACACATGGAGTCAGATTTAGTATTTTTTTGATTAAGGTGTTCAAGAGACTATAGCGAAAAAGTAAGATCTTTACATTTATTTTGAACAATTTATATAATAATAATGTAATTAATGTTTAAAGAGTTTATTTATCATCTTTACTTTTCATATCGCTTCATATGCTCACTTCATCCAAATAGACACTTGTTGCCCTTAGAGCAAACGAAACGGCTTGGGCAAGAATAACAGTTTTTAAAGCCATTCCCGGGGTAACAACATTCTCCTGAAAAAGGATTATTTTAATGACGAAATATTGAGAGATTCAGTTCTCTTACGTGGAAAGCAAACACCAACTACACAAAAATATCCATGTGGACATTTGGGAGGTTGATGAAGACATCTTATAGCTGAATTAATAAATATGATATAAATGGATAATGGTTTAACTAAATTTGATATTGGGTACTTCATGGAGGGCAGCCCAATGTACCGCAGAGCTATAATTTCGTTCAACGTGATTGAATCCAGGACGCTCTAGTATAGTTCGATTCAGCTCATCAAAACGCATCGAATCATACCAAGGCGTCCCGGATCGGAAATTTTTAAAGAAAGTTAGTTCTGATGTACCTTGGGGTCGTGGTACATTAGCCTGCTCCCCCTTTTGGATATCCCATCAATTATTTATGCCTAAATTACTTTCATTTTTTCGCCAATCATTTATTTTCCTAGACAGGAAAGCAAGTGAAGGAAGTCTGACCATTATGTACATCTTTTTAGAGGAAAAATATCTCTGGAACAAAACTAGGAGGAATTGTGGCGGGAGTCCATAAGGTACCGTATTTGTGTCTTACCATTAGATAGTACAGATGAAATTAAGCACATTTGAATAAAAACCAACAGTATCAACTAAAATTTGTAATAAAATTTAAGCATAAACTAATTTACCTTCATTTCTCGAGTAGTTATTATTAATGATTTATTTTTTGAAAACTGATTTACTATGACAATTAAAAAGTAAATTAATTCTTGATTAACATAGACATTATTAAAATGTTTGTTTTATGACATATGTTCATATTTTACTGCCTTTTTTGATTGCTAGCTACATTAATTGCCACGTTAAATAGCCACATAGATGATCAGTCCAGGGAAACAATGACTATGTAGAGAAATTTTACAAGCTGCTAACAATCAAGGTAATAAAATGATAAATAAATATCGTCATTAAACAAACAAAAATAATGTTAAGAATGAATTTTCTCATTTTTTGCCTAATATTGAAAATTATGTTGACAATTTTGACAAATAACTAAAAATAAGATTACATTTAGAGGTCGGTAAAATTAGAGGTCGGTAAAATCTTCTAATAGTTGAAACATTTTACTGATGTTTTTTTTGAAAACTTCTATGTTTTTCTTATAGACTTCGACATCATCGATCACTCTTTTTTTAATATTTTTTCTATTTTTATAAAGAGATGTGATGCGGTTTTTAGCAAGATAATTATGGGCTCTAAACGGTAGCTCCCTTTTAGAACCCACAATTGTTGTATCTTCAGTTTTATTAAATTTATTTTTAGAAAGTCCAAAATGTGCCAAATGCTTTGCTAACAATGGATCACGAACAAGAGCATCTTCAGAATAACTGTAAATATCCCCATCACCATCAGAAATAGTACTTAATTTAATCACTAAAGGATAACCAGTTTCTTCATAATGAGTTTTCTAAAAATTAAAAAGATAATACAAATTGATTTCTTTTTCTAGAATAGATTTAAGACCCGAATCTGAATTTAACTTGGCCTTGTCAGAGAATTAACTTTCAATCTTACCAAAGCTTTTTAAATCTAGGCGTTCTCACTAGATTAGTCTGTTTGACACAAATTAGGATAGAAACGAGACTCCAAATTAGATAAGGGGAGTGTCATTCAATTTGACTCTTAATTTGTCATAGAAAAGCTAAATATATAAACTAACTGCATGTCCATTCCCTTTAACGGCACTCATAGGAGCATATCGTCCACACATGATAACACCATCACTAAGATTCAACCACAAATTCTCTTTAAGTTCACATCCAGGCTTGGCACAAATCCAACCATCATAAGATATTTTGCCTTCAAATGGAATCTAAAATTAAAGATTGAAAGCTAAATAAAGCGTGAATAGGAGTAAAAGACAATCAACACGTAAATCGAAGCCCATCCTAGAAACTCAGAAAGCCTACAATACATGCCCAAAAGATATGTAAATAATGAGAACCTATAGACCAAATAAGGTCGGTTATGTTTTGGCTAATAAGGAGGTGGAGTTTCAACATGAAAGTTGAGACTTCAAAGAATACGACAAAGTTCGTAAACTAGAAAGGGCCAAATTTATCAAACAAAAACCTGTTCAAGCTTTTCGGCAACCTTTGAAATCTGACGTTCTTCTCCATCCCGTTCACTGACGCCAATTTGTAAGCGTTGTTGTAATTCGGCACTAATATTCGCAATAACCATATCCACAATTTCACGAAGCTTGTCCCCAATATGACTTTCAATTTTTATTGGAACTTCAATATGTGGATGCAAACAAAGGTTGTAGTCTGAACTGATTTTGTCTTCTGTTTGAGAGATGCACAAGCGTTGAATCTCAAACACGCAAAATTAGGAAAGAACAAAAATCTTTAAAAAACCTTATCTTTCGGCTCTTCAGAATCCTCATTAGGCACTTTGGACTTCTTAATATTTAAAAACAAACGGAACGACGTCTTCTTAACATAAAGGTCAAGATGTTTTGCACAAATACCAACAAAATCCAATAAAGAAATGAAGAGTCCACCTAAAAGATGAGAGTAAAAGACTTTAAAAGTTAAACCTGGCGAAAAAGCTGTATCAGAACAATAAAAACACTCATCCTTGTAAACTTATCGGCACTTCGCGGCCATTTCAATTTAAAGGAACCCTCAGTAATATATTTTTTTAATTCAATTAAAAGGTTTTCTTCATTCATCTAAAAACGCAAAGATTGGAAATGTCCGAAATAAACTAAAGAAGTAACAATAAAATCAATAAAAAAAGAAGCCTATGTGTTTTTATTTTTTATTATTAAAAATAAAAACTATAGGTTAAAGAACATAAAATGTATAGTTTAAAGACTTCCAGTGTGAAAATAAACTAAATAAGAATAGTGAGATAAGTTAAAAGAGAGAAAAAGGAGAATGTTCTAGAAAATTTGGACATATTAAAATTAGTTTTGAGTCCTGGTCAGAGGTCAAGTGCTGGGTACTATTTGAGTCCTATTATGTTCAAAAGGTGTGGGTTTAGGGAAACGAGTAATTTGGGTAGATGAGCGATTTGGGAGGAGCAATTTGGGGGTGAGCGATCTGGGGGTGAGCGATTTGGGAAGAGCGATTTGGGGTGAGCGATTTGGGGGGGGTTAACTACTAATAATTTATTTTCTTTTGTGATTATTTTATTAAAAATAACCTTACGAATAAAAACTAATCTTTAGAAATATTTATTATATTATAATCTTCAATAATTTATTTTCTTTTGTGATTATTTTTTTCAAAATAACCTTCCGAATAAAAACTAATCTTTAGAAATATTTATTATATTATAATCTTCAATAATTTATTTTCTTTTGTGATTATTTTATTCAAAATAACCTTCCGAATAAAAACTAATTTTTAGAAATATTTATTATATTATAATCTTCAATAATAGTAGTTAACCCCCCCCCCAAATCGCTCCTCCCAAATCGCTCCTCCCAAATCGCTCCTCCCAAATCGCTCACCCCAGATCGCTCACCCCCAAATCGCTCCTCCCAAATCGCTCACCCCCAAATCGCTACTCTCAAATCACTCATCTATCCAAATTACTCGTTTCCCAAAACCCGCACCTTTTGATGACTTTTTCTTTTTGATTTTGCAAATAATCTCTACCTTCTGAAGGGTTTCAGTATAATTAATCAGTGTTTTTGGTTAATTATTCAAATTCCATATATGATTATTTACATTTTTTGAGGGATAGAGTGGTACCAGCTGTCATGACAGTAATTTAAAGAAAACAATAATCCGGGTAGGGACTTAGAACTGTTATGTTTGATGGAAAAGTTGTTTATAAAAAATATTTTGTTCAATTTTTATTATAAAAATATATTTTAAAGGCAGTCCCAAGCTATCATATAATTGAGTGGGATGTTCGGACAACCAAATTTTATGTAAAAAATTTTTTGAAATTTTCTATTTTTTAAAATTATTTTTCTTTTGATCTAGGTGATCTTATAGCCAATCTAATTTGAATAGAAATATTTTCGGAGCATTTTTAATGGTAAAGTTAATTTTTATTGATGAACATACATATCTTTAAAATGTTTAATGAAATTTACCAGCTGGTATAAGCTTATAATTGTTAATTTAGATTAAATTTGCCTTTTAATATAATTTTAATTTTAATGTATAAATTTCTATTTAGAATTATTAGAGAATTAAAAATGGTTCTTGAGTGGCAATTAAATCTTTTTTATTTTTTGTTAGGCATTTTAATATGCACATTATTTTATCTAATTATAATTTGTCGGTAAATATTTGTAAATAAATGTAAAATAATTTAACATTAATTTTCATAGATTTGTAAAGAATGAAGAAGAGGCTGAATTGATTGAACGTGGAGAAAATGGAAATAATTTGGAAATGCAAGTCTATGAGAATTCGGCATTCGATCCAAATATTTCAGTGTTTGAAGAAGTAAATTTAAATTCTTTTTAATATTTGAAAAATTTAATATATTTTTATATTAATAATTTTAAAATAAATTTTTGTAATAAATATATAATTATTATAATAAAAATTTTTGATTATTTATTGAAGTGTGTTTTTAATAGAGGTTAATTTTAATATCATAAATTTTAACTTATAATTATCTTTTAATTGCTAGTCTGTCAATAGAAATTCAACCATTATAATTTAAATTAATTTAAAAAACCCAAACAAATAAATTATTAAATAATTAACTATGAGTAACTTAAATATTAAATTTGTTTTAATGTTAATCAAATAGAATCACAATAACATCTATAAGATTAAATACAAATTCAGCTTGAAAGTTTGTAAAACTTAGCGTTCTGAGAATCTTGAAATAAATTATTAAGAGCCATTAAATGTGTTTCTATAATTATAATAGACTTAAAAATGAAAAATTTGTTGCTTAGGTATTCGATAATTCTAGTTTATTATGTTTTATTACTCGCAGAAAGATTTTTTTGATATTCAAGTGAACAATGAGTTCAAACTGAACTAAATAGTGGGCATAATCTATTATTGATGAATTTATAGAATTTCTGAATCAAAAGATGTGTTCAAAAGAAAATTTACTGGTTAAAAAGAAAAAATATCAAACTAACATAAAAATAACAGAATCTTGAGATAAAATAAAATCATAAATTTATTTTAGATATTTTATGTTCCTATTATAACAAATATGATTAATCAGAATGACTTTTATAATACTTATACAGAAGATGATTTAAAATTAAAGCTCTCTTTCATATTCATTATTAATGGTCCTAGTTCAAACGGACCTAGTTCTAGGTACAATTACAGAATGTTCAAGAGTAAACACACGCTCAAGTCCTTTGTTCGCTCGCTATATTAATTTACGTATTAATATAGCTATATTAATTTACGTATTAATTTACGTTTACTCACAAATGTACATACTCAATATATTGATGTAAAACAAGTATTGTGTGATAAAATTTTTCTGTAAAGTTTAGGATTATAATATAAAATTGATGCAAAGTTAAGGATTATAAGATACAGTTAATGTAAAGTTGATAATCAGAAAATAAAATTATGAAAAGTTAAGGGATAGAAGATACAATTCGTGCAAAGTTAAGAAATGTAAGAAGCAGATTTGGGGGTAAAAGTGCAAAGTTAAGCACTAGAAGATACAATTGATGCAATGTTAAGCAAATCAGGTTACAATTTATATAAATTTAAGGATTAAAAGATAAAAATGAATCAAAGTTAAGCATTAGAAGATAAAACTGATGAAAAGTTAAGAAAATTAGCACATATTTTCGTAAAAATATCAAAAATATCTGCGTTTTCCCCACATTTTCTTCATGGGCGTGTAAGTGATGGTACCCATTAGCTAAGAATGTAGCGCATATATTCATAATTATATATGCTGTTTTATTGAAAATGTCAAAATTCCCAAAGAAATCATAATTATCTACCCTAAATTCAGTTTCTAACTCCGATCAATTTGTTAAGATTTTTGTGAATAAACTAATTTATTAAATTCAAAATTTTTTTAATATAAGAGAAATTTTAGACAAAATTTAGAGGGTATAGCACTAGTTTTAAGGGTAAATAAGCAAAATTAACACTAGGAAGATTATATTTTGTAAAGTTTAATGAATAGAAATTAAAACTAAATTTTACTTAGATTTATTAAGGCTAATATTTTATTTCTCCCACATTTTCATACAATTGTTATAAAGCAACAGGATTCCACGTCTTAAAAAATTTTCTTGTGTTTTATCAGAGCTATTCGTTTCCTTAATTGTCGAGTCTGTAGAAGTTGTGTTTGAAGATATCACTCATTCAGATGAAGAAGACGGAGATTCTTCATAATAATTGGTGAAACTAAATCAGTTTCATCATCATCGATTGGACAGATTTCTAGCAATTCTAATGGGTAGAAACAATTTTTGTAGTGTAAACATTGATGAAACGGATATTTGAGAACAATTCGATGTCGGACATGAAAATAAGACCAGACACTGATATTAAAAGGTGCATGTAAATCCCCATATGCCAAGATCTGGTGAGAACCGAGCGTAGTAATTCCTTCGCAATATATAACTCGTTTGAGCCCCTTTCTGTCGAAATAGTTTGTCCTTAATGCCTTCCCTCTTAACTGATCAAGAACACGTTCCCTTTCAAATTTATTTGTTAATTTTAAATGTACATTTTCAGATGTACAATCTAGTATTTTTGAAATTTCCTCCAAAAGGTTTGGCATTTTATCGAATTTTTTTAAAATTTAAAAATAATGTTGAATGAACAGAAAATAAAATTTCTAGTAATATTTATATTCCAATGTTTGGGTAGCACTATAGCAAACAATTTTTGTAGTGTAGTCACAACGATTTTCAAGTCACAACGATTTTCCTAGTGTAAATAATACAAGTTTGAATTTGAAAATTTATTTTCAGATTTGAATTTGAAAAATCATTTATTGGTAATTTAATTTAAACATTTAGAGTATTTGAGTATAAAATTTGTAATTAATGCTTTTTTTAAGTCTAGTATAAGAAAAACTTAGTGTAATTTCATTTTCACTTTTTGTCAGAACTTTACACTGTAAAGTTTCTTCTTCTGTTGACGCAAGATATATCGTTTTTTCTGCGTTTGAATTTAGGGAGAAGTCGATTTTAAAATCCAATGTGTGGTTTTGAAAATAAACTTATGGACATAAACATATCACTCTACTTTACATTGTCTTTAAATTTTAAAATATTTTAAGGGTAGCCAAACTAATATTCAAGTCACGCCCCATATTTCTAGTGTAAATAACACAGATTTGAAAATTCATTATCAGATTTGAATTTGAAAAAAAATCATTCATTGAAAACTCAATTTAAAAATCAGAGTATTTGAGCAAAGAAAATGTAATTAATGTTTTTTTTGACTAGTCTATTATAAGAAAAAAACATAACTAATTTCATTCTAAGTAATTTCATTCTCACTTTGTGCCAGCACTTTACACTGTAAAATATTTTCTTTTGTTGGCGTGAAGATATATTGTTTTTTCTGCTGTTTGAATTTAAGGAGTCAATTTTAAAATCTGTTGTGGTTTTGTAAATAATCTTATGGTTTAGGCTCATAAACACATCAATCTACTTAACATTAACATTAAATTTTGAAATATTTCAAGCATTAGGTATCCAAATTATTATCAAGTTACGCCCCATATTCCTTGTATAAATAACACAAATTTAAATTTGAAAATTCATTTTTGAGTATTTGAGCATAAAAAAATTTTGAAAATGTCCAAACAAAATTCGTCTAGTTTAGTAAAACAAGATGAAAATGGTATCGAAATATCAATGGAAAATATAAATGAGAATAAGCAAGTCAAAATTGAGAATAATGAGACTGTATGGCTTAGTAAAAAGAACCCTCTCAAGAAAGCCGAACCAAAAGTTTCGACCCGGAGCAAAACTCTTTGGAAATTAGTGAGAATGAAATACATCCCTCGTTTGGAATTCCGTCTCTGTAGGATCTGCTCCAATGTGCTTTTTCATAGCACAAGTCGATTTATAGAGAAAGAAGATGGAGGAGTGAAAATAATGTTTGAATTGTGCAAGGACTGTGTAAAGCTTAATATGCACATAAAGGATGTGCTTTGTGAATGGGTAATCAAGAAAAAAGAAGGTGAAAATAATACAAAATAAATAGTATAAATTATTTAAATTATAATATTTGTTTAACTATAATTTTAAAATTTTAACTTTTGTTTCAATTCCACTTATAAACATTTAAATCTCTTCTTGTAATTAATGCTTTTTTGAATATCTATATAAAAAACAGTGTAATTTTATTCTCACAATGTGCCAACACTTTACAGTGTATATATTGTTTTTTTTGTTGTTTGAATTTAGGGAGGAGTCAATTGTAAAATCTATTATGTGGTTTTGAAAATAAACATCCTTTAGGACATAAACATATCACTCTACTCTACATTGGCTTTAAATTTAAAATATAATTTTCTAATCGTTTTAAAATTTCTCCGTATCCCTTTCATAGACCTAACAATTGGAATATTTTTATCGACGAATTAGAAATGAGTAAGAATTCTTCCAATAATAAACATTTTTATTTATTTTTTAAGACCATTTTATCCGATCAAGAGGGATCACTCCTAGTCCAAACAGAGGCAGCCCGCGCACATATGCAACACTTACAAACACCTCATCTGTGTTTCTTGATCATCAATATGTGCAGTCATCATCCGACCAGCCAGGCTCTCCATTTGGACTAACATCTTTTTTTGATGAATTAATTGAAAATCATCGCAATCTTCATGCAACTGAAGAGGCACCATTATATTCCCTTGGGAATCATTCCATAGGTAAATTTCATTTTCCGTATATCAAGATTATTTATTATATTTAGTCTCAACACCCATACATTATACCAATGATGAAGGGTTATATGATGGACCTACTCCATGGTTTCCTGACAACTCTATTGGTATTTTGAATATTTTAATTAAAAGAATTTTAAAAAGCTTTAAAATAATGTTAATTAGAAGAAAATTAATGAGATATTTTTAGGGCCTGTTCCAGCACAATGGAACCATGATATTAGCTTTGATGAAGCCAGCTCAATTGGTATTTTACATATCTTAATTAATAGCGAATTTTAAAAAGCTTTAAAATAATGTTAATTAGAAGAAAATTAATGAGATATTTTTAGGGCCTGTTCCAGCACAATGGAACCATGATATTAGCTTTGATGAAGCCAGCTCAATTGGTATTTTACATATCTTAATTAATAGCGAATTTTAAAAAGCTTTCAAATTATGTTAATTAGCAAAAGATTAACGGGTTATATTTAGGTTCTACTCCAGAACAGTGGGCCCATGATGCTAGCTTTAATTCTACTATACCATGGCAACTCCCTGTTATTTTTAATCGAGAGGAAGATGATAATCAAGAAGATATCATGGAAAAGCCTAAAATTTTTAAAGGAAATAGAATTCAAGCTGATGTATGTGTAAATTGTCAAATAAGTAAGTATAAGGAAGGAAAGGAAGAAGTGAAGGAGTCAGAGAAAAAAAATATAATTGAGGAAAAGGAAGAAGAAAAAATTTTTGCCAATGTCATGTTCGGACCGGATTCCTGCTCGTGCTTGGCCTTCTGTCTTGATTGTGTGAATGATGGGCTGGAGACTAGTTTGAGACGTGTGGCCATTGAAAATAGAATGAAAAAGCTCGGTGCTTACGAGCCTCATTTTGATGCATTAAGCATCAGTCAGATATTGTTTTGCCATCCGTATCTACTTGGACATGATATAAAACCGAAATGCTGTGTGTGTAGAAAGGCATTTAACCATCTTGTTCGACGTTCGCTACGACCCAAGCGAAAGTCGGGTCGCATTTGTAAATGCAATAAGTGTTGAAATCTTTGAATTATGTATCGGTTAATATTTAAATTTAGTTAGTACATTTCATCACTAACAAAAATTTTGAGCTAATACATAATTCAAAGAATTTCTGTTTGGAAATATTTGTGTGTTATTTTAAATACATTTATTTGGATTTACATATATTTGTTAATGAGATAAAAATTGTTAAATGGACATTATTCAATTTTTGTAATTTTCTTTAAACAATTCTAGGTATCAATTGTTGTGTTAGTATTATTTGAATTTAAAATTTAAACTAAAATTTCAAACATATATTTTGTAAGGTGACACAGGCTGGTACATTCTGGTTAAATTTTCACTATAAAAACTCAGACGCCCACACATTTTTTCATTCTTATTTTCACAACTCAAATAAAATTTCAATGTCCCATAATACCCCAAAAAAATCAAGGTTCTCAATAGATCGGATCTTGGATAATGTATCCGAGCAACAGTCAGATGAAACAAATCGTTTCCTTATTAGGAATATAATTTCAAATGAGAATTCAAATCAAAGAGTACAAATCGGCATGGGAAAGGAGAAAATTTTTGAAAAATTAGATTCAACAAAGATATTTTGTAAAAGATTTAAATTAATGAAATTAATAACAAAATTTGCAATTAAATCAGTAACAAAAAACCCAGAGGATACTATTAGAAAAATTTTAAATGAGTGCATAAATCAAGCTATAGATGAATCTAGAAAAAATGGAATTGAAGCAGATCATCTTGGTGCAACTATTTCCTCACCTTTATTAGATGTGGACATTTGGATACCTGTCCGTAATATACATGAGGATACTATAGAAAATATTTTACAACGTTTTTTACTAGTTTCACAGTCAAAAGCAGAAAGAGGCTCGTTATTAGGAGAACCCTTCACAGTGTCAATTCACACCTTAGACATTTCCTCACTACCAAAGGAAAAATCAATCACTGGTAAAGCTCCAACAAATTCATCATCTTCGCAATCGGGCATAGATGAATCGGACTGTTGGCTTATTAAAATAATAAATTTTAATGATAATTATTGTCTTTTTTACGCCTTGGAATTGACAAAAAAATATGTAATAGGAGAATTGGGACATAAAAGAAATTTTGGAAGGTATCATCGTGAACAACTTCAACTTCAAAAAAATGATATTTTAAAATTAATGATTGAGTCAGATATTCCATTATCTGAGTTATCCTACGATGCATATGTTTACGTTCCGAAGGTAGTTGAGTACTGGAACAAAAAATATACACAAAATGGATTTATATTCAAAGTGTTCGTATTTGGTGATAGATGCGAAGACAAACCTAAATATGTTTATGGTCCAGATAATTACAACACACCTATTCCAATATATTATTCGCAAGATCATTTTGATGGGATAAGAACAGTTGGGGCACAATTCGGTCAACACTGGCAATACTGTTATTCATGTCAGAAAAAATATCGCAAAGCTAAAGAACATATTTCTACATGCAAATCAATATGCTTATTCTGTGGACGCGTAGGTATAGGAAAGCCATGCCCAATTGTATATGATTTCAATAAAGAATGCAAAGATTGTGGAAAAATTTTTCGTAACAATGATTGTTTTGAACATCATAAATCAAGCAATCACTGTCTTCAATCAAAACAGTGTGAAAAATGTGGAGTAATATGGAGAATAAAAGATATCAATAAAAATCCTGCCAAGAAACACATTTGCGGACATAAATGGTGCATTAAATGCATACAGTATCACAGCTCAGAAAGAGGATGCTTCATACAACCTCTTAAACCTAAAAAGAAAACGTCTTATCGTCTTGTAACATTCGACTTTGAATCAACACAACATGCTAAACATCCTCAAAATAATAATCATCGTCTCCATCACGTGAATTTCATTGCAGCTACTATAATATGCACAAATTGCATGGAAAATGATCAATGGAAAGCATCCCTCAAACAACTTGGAAAACTTTGTCATATTTGCGGTAAACATCGAAACATAACTTTTTCACATAGAGCATTTCAACAATCACATGTAGATGAACAACGAGTAACTGAAGATCCTTTACATGATTTTGTTAATTGGATTCTTTTTGAATTAGACAATAAATTCACAACCATAGCTTTTTCACACTTTGGTGGTAGGTATGATATGATTATGACATTCCGTGAAATATTCGTGAAAGGAATTGTTCCATCTATAATTAGACGAGGAAATAAATTATATGAACTCAGAGTTTCGAAAACACAAAATAGTTGTGAAGTTGTATTCAGAGATTCATATAACATCTGTCCAGTAGCATTAGGACAGCTGGTTGGTGCTTTCGATCTTCAAGTTCACGAAAAACAATTCTTTCCGCACTTAGCTAATAATCCAAGCAATTATGATATAACTTTACCAAATCTTCCTCCAAAATCAGACTATTTATATGGAGGTATGCTACCCGAAAAGCAAAAAATCTTTGATCAATGGTATGATGAAGAAAAAGACAAAACTTTTTGTCTAAATGAAGCACTGGCTGAATACTGTTTAAATGATGTTCAAATTCTGACCGAAGCTCTCTTAGCTTTTAGAGTTAAATTTTTGAAAATTAGTAAACCAAAAAATTGCAACAACATGACAAGTGGAATAGATATTCTACAGGATGCGATGACAATAGCTTCAGCTTGTATGAAGCATTTTCGGTTGAACCACTTGAAAGAAGAACACCTGGCAATAGTTCCGGAAAAGGGCTATGATAAATGTGACAATCAAAGTGAAATAGCAATGAAGTATCTTGAATGGTATGCCGAAGTTAATAGAGTTGAAGTTCGAACAGCTCATACAGATGGTGGTGAATTTACAGTAGCTGGAAGATACAAAGTTGATGGATATATTGAAGCTGAAGATAGAGCAATTGAAGTCCATGGATGTGTTTGGCATGCATGCCCTAAGCATTATGGTGACAGACCTGACCATGTTCTCCCTAATGGTAAGACAGTTGAAGTAGTTAGAAGAGAAGATGATGCTAGATTGGAAATCCTTAGAAAACATATTAGACACGTGGATGTTGTTTGGGAATGTGAAATTAAAGAGATGTTAAGAAGAAATAGGAAAATGAGAAAATGCTTTTCAAATTATATCGATAAAGGCCCAATCAAACTAAGGGATTGCTTTTTCGGAGGAAGAACTGGCCCACTCTCTCTTCATTATGAGGTCGATGAAGAACACGAAATTTCATATTTAGACTTCAATTCACTTTATCCTTCAACAATAGCAACAACATCATTTCCAATTGGACATCCAAAAATTATAATTATTCCAAAAAACGAACAAGACGTGTACTGGACTAGAAGTGAACATATTCCCATCAAAGGAATTCTTAAAATATTTTTAATACCTCCATATAAGACAGAAATTCCGGTAATGCCAGTAAAGTTCGATGACAGATTACTTTTCCCACTGTGTCGTCAATGTTCATTAGACTTCCCCAAAGGCGGTATAATTCCTGACTACAGCTGTCAGCATGGAGATAAAGAAAGAGGTTGGGTTTCAACGTGTACTTCTATAGAACTTGGGGAAGCATTAAACAACGGATATAAAGTTATCAAATATTTTCGCGCGCTTCACTATGAAAAATGGGACAACGAATTGTTTAAAGGATATGTTTCAGAGTTTATGAGTATGAAAATCCATGCAAGTGGATTTCCGAAAGAGATCGATTCACATCAAAAAGAAGAAAAATTTATTAGAGAATGTCAAGAGAAATTTGGAATCTATTTAGAAAGAGAAAAGATGATTCCAGATAAAGCAATGCGTTATATTTCAAAGCTTATGCTAAACTCTCTTTGGGGGCGGTTTAGTTTAAGGAATACGTTAACGAAGAGTCATATCACGGATTCTCCATCAGAACTACGTAATTTTGTAGAGAACAAATCAATTGAAGTCAATTCGATTGATAAATTGACGGAATATACAGTTTTGATTAATTATGAAACTAAGAATGAATTTATAAAAGAGCATCAAACGAGCAATATTGTCATTTCTTTATGGACTACCTCAATGGCGAGGATCAATTTGTTCAGGGCAATGCAAAAAATTTCAAGAACTCATGGTTGTTCTCTCCTTTACGGAGATACAGATAGTGTTCTTTTTTCATATCCGAAAATTAATGGAAGTCCACTTACGCCGGGATATCATTTAGGAGAATTGTCAGAAGAATATGGAGAATTTAATATAAAAGAATATGTTGGCGCAGCATGTAAAGCCTATGCATTAAAAATGATTGATAAAAAAACAGGAGAAGAGAAGAGTATGCTAAAGGTACGGGGGATTACATTGACTTCAGATATATGCAAGAAACTTCATTATACTTCATTCAAAGAAAGTGTGCTTGACTTTGGAAGAATAAGGGAGGAAAATGAGTTCAGAGAAATTTCAAATAATGATGATGATGACGAGGTGATGGTTTTAGAATATTCAAACTTTATCAGACCTAATGTAAAAACAGGCACTATTATTTCTGTACCATTTACAAAAACATTTAAACCTGTTATTCTTAAGGGTATTGTAACCCGCAACATGAAGATTGTTGACTTTGGTCATAAATAAAGCGTGTCTTTTTAGGTTTTTGCCTATTTTTCGCTAAATTTTGGGAAAAACTTAAGATTTTTCCAAATTTTTCAAAATTTTCGCCTGCGGCGCTTAAAATGAAAAAATCTAACTTAAGAACCTTCAAATTTCTCAAAATTTTCGCCTGCGGCGCAGAGATGTTAAGAAGAAATAGGAATTAAATTCCTATTTAGCAGAGATGTTAAGAAGAAATAGGAATTAAAGAGATGTTAAGAAGAAATAGGAAAATGAGAAAATGCTTTTCAAATTATATCGATAAAGGCCCAATCAAACTAAGGGATTGCTTTTTCGGAGGAAGAACTGGCCCACTCTCTCTTCATTATGAGGTCGATGAAGAACACGAAATTTCATATTTAGACTTCAATTCACTTTATCCTTCAACAATAGCAACAACATCAT